CCGGTGTCGGCGTTGTCCATTGCCGACCATGATTTTCCGGCGCTGTGTTCCTTTTGTGCGCCATTTTCTTTTTGGCGCCTCCAGGGATCCATTCCCATATAGAGAGAGAGATGATTTTTCGTCATCGGCGAATTTTCCGGCGACAACGTTCATTTTGTTATGTTTTTTGGACGATTTTGTAATTTTTGTAAGTATGTTTTGTGATTTTGTATCAATTCGGCTTGTATCGTTTATCATTCTAATTTGTTATTTTTATGTATTATGTTTGTAATGTTTATAAGACTAATTTGTATACATTGAAATTTGTAATATTTGTTTATCTAGTTTGTATACTTTTTGTTCTGATTTTTTTACTTTGTATTCATTGATTTATAATACAAGTTTATTGTTTTGTATTGTAAGCTGTGACATTTTGTACTCTTAGCATGTTTGTAAGTCTAGTTTGTATTCTTTGTGTAGTTCATACGTTTCGTATTGTTTGTAAATCTGTTTGTATGTTTTATCGCTCTAGTTTGTATTGTTTTATGTTTGTATGGTATGTATTGTTTGTAAGTTTAGTTTGTACACTTCATAATTTTCCATAATATCGAAACTACCCCTGTCATTAATTAAAAAGCTCTTCCACTTTTTAACCGAGAAATTAGTGTATCAAAATCTATGAATTGAGAGGGATTATCCAAATGAATAAGCACCCCTTAGTCACCAGATCCGGCTCGGCGGGAGAGAGCTAAAGACAAAAGGGGGATTCTTATTTCTTTCTCTTTGTTTTGGTTTGCTCAGCTTGCTCTTACACGACTAGTTCAATGCCTATTTATAAGCCTTACATCAACACATATCAAGGCTAACCGATCCAAAATTGTGGTCTGCCTTGTTCTTTGTTTATTATAAAACTTCAAACTAACAACTAACCCAATTTATTTCTTGTTTTACACAATTCTACACACACTCATCCACACACACCTACTCCTCCCATCTAGCACATTTTGATTTTGTTCTTTACTTTATTAATTCAACTTTATTTTTATTTTTTTCAATTTCAACATCTTCTGCCATTTCCATTTGTGCCTTGGACATTGACTCGGAATTCTTATTCTTTCATGTGCAGCTGCAAAGGTGTCAATGCAACAACACCACACTTAGTTAAGGTTCAACTCAAAAAAATTAACTCATCAGTTACGATTACGGATAGGGTACGAGTACTCGAACCGGGCAATGATTATAGTATTCTGGTCTATCGAGAAACCCTTTGCCAAACCCTTTTCCAAAATCTGGAACCAGTAATGGATGTTTATATGGTTCGTTAACAAATAAGAGATGCATAACTTTCACCATATATATATATCCTATCTGCTTCATTAATACAAAACCATAATACCCCAATTCCTTTTCAACTTTGGTAACATGAATGCCAAAATATCAATCACAATGTGTAAATTGCGTCGGTGAGAGGGGATCCCCTTTATTATGCCTTTCTAATATAGGGAATAAACTCCTGCAGGCTTTTCCATTCACCAGCACTGAGATAATTGGCAGGTTACATTACACAAGCTTTCATGCAAGTAATCCACTTCTCTACGAAACCCAAGCTGGCAGCCAATCTGTATAATGCTTTCCAATGAACGTTATTAATGTATACCAGCTAACACAACCCAACTAATTACGAAGTGAAATTTGGGAGGATTGTCCTAAAAAGGGATTTGCTATGTTTGGTTCAACGGATAGCTCATCTTCATATGAAGTGTTCCTCAAGAGAAAAGTCTGATCGGGAATTTTTTTTAAAGCAATGACAATGACTAGATCTATTTTATTATGTTGTCCTAAAAAGCCCACTTAGAAAAGTGTACTAGCTTAAGCAAAATTGACATGGAAAAAGTATCAGATAGATGTATGATTTATAAGTAAAAATCAGCTTTAACTGATTTTGTGGTGAAATGCAAGAGTTCTTATAATATGTTTCAAAGTCCCTGGAGAAGATTGATGATGAAGTTAAAGCTGTTAAAATTCTGCATAAAAACATGTTTGAGCAATCCTCTTTCGATCCACTTTGAGATCAATTCTGTGATGCTTTTGACAAGAGGAAGGATCAAGCTTTGAGGGCAAAGTTTTTTGAAGAGGGGAAGTCTGATATGATCCCAAATAGCCAACCGTACATGTCACAATTACTCGACAAAGAAGCTAACGAAGTTGGAAAGCAGAAGGGCAGAATTTGGCTAAGTCAAAATCCGTGTTCAGGGTACATACTTTGGAGGCATGGTTCTCTCAATTGGCTTAGTAGAAATTCAGGTTTAAGGGTTTTTTTGCAGATAAAGTTTCCATCTTTCCAATGGTATGTGTTGGGGATGTGACTCGGATCTCAGCACGCCGAAGAAATACCTAAGGAGGCTCACGTCAAAGATAACGCGCGAGTCGCGCCAGGGGAAAGCGCGAGTGCAGAGACTGACCCTATAGACGGCGCATAAACGCCAAACGACGGCACTTTGGACAAGCGCGGGCCCTCACCGAGAAGTTGTAGAAGCGGCGCCGCGTCACCCGAAGGGTAGTCAACATCATAGTCCTAGGTATAGTCATGGCTAAGGGTCTTGTCACCCCTAGGGATATGGTCTTTGTCCCTGACATGTCGGAGGTCATGTCACCTTGCCGTAGTGGTCACGTCATCGTACCACCATGTAACCCACCCTCCCCACGTACAACGGCACGACCGATCCTGAAGACCACGTCAGCACCTTCTGCCTGCGGATGCAACTCCAAACCAACTCTAATGCGGCACTATGCTGTACGTTCCCATCAACATTCTCCGGGATATGCCTCGACTGGTATAACCGCCTCCCCAATGGAATCATCCGCTCCTTCGAAGAGTTCATACTCCTGTTCACAACTAAGTTCGCGTCACAAAAAAGAAGGCCTCTCCACCTCAAGGCGCTGATAGACATCCGCCAGAAGGACGGAGAAAGCTTGCGGGCGTTCTACGCTAGGTGGTCCAGGGTGGCAATGGCTGTAAGAGATCTCACCCCGGAAACCGCCGCCCATCACCTCATGGACGCCACTACTAGCATGGAGCTCAAGAGAGCGCTAGCAAAGAGACCAATCACACTGTCTATGGAGCTGGAAGTCAAAATTGAAAAGGCCATCACTTTGGAAGAGACGTTGGGCGCGGGCTCCATCAGACGTTTTGAACCCGCCAAAATGCCCAAAGAAGATCAAGCTCGTAGGCAGCTTCCCGTGCCGCGGGACCAGCTGTTGCAAGCGCACAGCGGCGCCAGACACCCACCACCTCCTCCAGAACAAGCCCATCGGGGACGGTCGCCAGAGAGGCGCCCGCCAAACTATACTCCCCTCAACGACACGGTCAAGAACGTCTACCACGTTCTACGAGAGAAGGGGCACAAAATCAACTGGCCCGCCCCCATGAAGACCCTCCCGCACATGCGCGATCCCAAGAAGCGCTGTGAATTCCATAGGGACACGGGGCACTGGACAGAAAACTGCAGAGAATTGCGCTATGAGATCGAGGGCCTCGTACAAAGGGGACTCCTGAATGAGTTCATTCGCGGAACGGAAGAACCGGTGGAGCGCCCTGTGGAACCCCCACCACCGCCACAGGCTGACTATGACGACGCCTCGGGCTCGTACGTAGTGCAAAAGGAAATCGGGGTGGTAACTATAGAAGGAGATCGCCCGAAGAAAAATACCAAGCGCGACCGCGCTATAGAGTGCACGGCGGCGGAAGCTACACAGAAGTGCAACTTGAGCTTCGACGACGCTGAACTCCCCGGAGGGGTCCCTTCGGATGACCCGCTCATCATCACCGCGCTCGTCGCCGCCTGCAAGGTTCGCCGCCTACTAATTGACGGGGGCAGCGCGGCGGACATTCTTTTCAAGAATACGGTCGACCAAATGGACATCGACCCGCGGCTAATCAAGCCCGCTTACGGGAACTTGGTCGGTTTTTCCGGCACAAGGGTCCCAGTTATCGGGGTGGTCACTCTTCCAGTCGTGCTCGGGGACCAAGAGCCACGCGTCTCGAAGCAAGTCGAGTTCACGATAGTCGACTGCAAATGCCCCCACAATGGAATTTTTGGTCGCCCGCTCTTGGCAAAATTCATGGCTCTCCCGTCAATATGGCATTTACTCCGGTGGGTGAGGGGATCGGATTTTTGGGGTTCTATCTCTAAAATCATCAACTTCTCTCTCTAAAGATTTTCCCTCTCAATTCTAATCGTAATTTCCCCAGTTCTTCCCTCAACGGTTATTTCCCCTTTGCTTGCTCTCCTTGACCCATCTTCCTGAGTCTCACTCCTACACCCAGTTAGGCTCAAACAGTATGCTTTGTGAATCCAGATGATGTCATTAAGGTTGTTTTCCAAGGCCTCAAAGTTGCTACCTCAAAACTGGAAAACTGCCAGAATTTGGTTAAGGCAGAAACTATGTTCAAGAAGCCTACTTTGGAGCTCCATTCCACATGAACGTAGGTATGTTCTACTACAAAGACATGACATTGGATGATTGGAAGATTACCTGGAAGGCGTTGATCGAGAGGCTCAAAGATGGCATCAAAGCTGTTTGGTTACTTGGAGCTAAATGCAGATATTCTTTTTCTTGTTTAGTTAGGATTTCATTGTTTTGATAGTTTTTTATTCCTTTTCGTATTATACTGTAATTAGGAGTTTATGGGACGTGTGTAACCCTAGCTAGGCCTATTTAAGCTTTCTATTTTCGTTGTAAAATTAAGAGTTGATTTATTGAAAAGAAACCGTTTGGTTTGTTCAAGTTTGCGAACTTGTTTTGGGTTTGGTGGATTCCAAATAGGGCTGGCAGTTTGGACCGGGACCGGATTGAAAACCGAAAACCGGACCGTAAAAACCGGACCGTTTTAAGACCGGGACCGGATTTAAAACAATCCAATCCCGTCTTTGGTCCTAGAATTAGCAAAAAAACCGGACCAATCCAGTCCGGGTCAAAACCGTGTAAAAACCGGAAGACCGGATAATTACAAAACAGATTTAGAGCTGACCCAGCCTCTCGGCCCACTTACCCAGGCCCACTAACCCATGGCCTCTGTTCTCTGTCGTCTGTAGGGTTGAGAGCTGACCCAGCCTCTCTTCAGTCTTCATTCCGCCTGCCGCCTCCCTCTCCCTCGAGACTGAAAGCATCGCCCATCGCCATCGCCATCGGAGACTCTCGGACCAGCGCGCCGTCGACGGAGTCTCGGAGACTCGGACCATCACGACGGCAACGGCGACCTGATGACCAGACTCCAGAGGCATCGTTTCTCTCTCTCATCGTCTCACAGAGCTCAATCTATTTTTTCTCTCTACTTGCTAGAGATGAAACTTTCCCGATTTGCGGATTCAGTCGTGGAGATTCGCTGCTTTCTTTGCGGCCGGCCCCTGTTACTGTCCCTGCAAACCGGTTTTTGAAACTGAACTAGAGCTGGAGAGTGTGGCGGAGCGTGAGCTAAGCGGGTAAGCTACTACTACTATAGTACAGTTGAGAGGAAATCAAGCAAGCAGCTGCGGATAATGAATCTCGTCGTGATTCTCTCGGCGTCCATCGCTCTCGGCCTCGCTGTTCTTTATCTTCCGCTTCTGAAACTCTCTCCGCCATTCGATTTCCGCCTCTCCTCGTCCAAGTCGGCGAACCAAGTACCCTTTGCAGAGCTGGTGCTGAAAAATGGCGTTATTTTCACCAGCGACTCTTCTCTACCTTTTGCGGATTCCATGGCTGTGAGAAACGGAAGGATTCTTGGGGTTGGAAACTACTCGTCGCTCCAGGGATTGATTGGAAACGATACCCAGGAGTTGAATCTTCAAGAGAAGGTTGTGGTTCCTGGGTTTATCGATTCTCATGTCCATTTCATTCCTGGCGGATTGCAGATGGCACGAGTTGAGCTGCGAGGTGTTAATCAGAAGGCAGAGTTTATAAACAGAGTGAAAGAGGCAGTCACAAAACTACCACAGGGATCCTGGGTTCTCTGGAGTCTGGTCATCAGTTTGGTGTTTGATGTCTAAACTTTGTTTGTGAACTTGTGATGCACTTTATTTTTATTTTGAAGTTTGAATTGGACTTTGAGTTTGTAATAGACATTAATGATGGTTGTGATTTTGTATTGGACCATATTTGGCTTGATTTTGCTACAAACAGGTTGTTTACATTCCAGGAAATAGGTATATGCTGATGAATTTTTTGCAACATGGTCAAAACGGGTCAAAACAGGTCAAAACCGGATTGGGACCGGACCGGGTCAAAACCGGACTGTACCCAATCCAAGTTTTGGTCCCCATATTTCCAAAAAGACCGGACCGGACCGGATCAATTCGGGCCAATTTAACCGGACCGGACCGTATTGCCACCCCTAATTCCAAACTTGCTGAGCTTGTGTATCGATTGAATAGTCACTTCAATCGTGGTCGAGCAACTACTCTTTTATACCAATCGAGCTATCCCCTGGTGTGGATTTGTCCTTTTAGTTCCGTTTTATCCAAGTTCGTATAAAGAACGTTTCGTTCTTGATTCGAGTTCAATCGATTTTTCGATTGAATCGTTAGTTGCGTTACTTTGATCGCATACAATCCCCAGGGGCGTATTAATATTTCGAACAACATGTTTAAGCAAGGTGTTCCGAACAACACCGAAAAACAAATCGAAATCAAGATTTCGAATTTCTTGAAGGGCAAATCAATGAGAAGGCAGGTCTCGAGAGATACTTGCTGAATGGCAGCTACGAAGAACCATCTTCAATCTCCAAACCAGAGCGAACACAACGCATTAGAGTACAACTTCTTACAACGACCATGCAATACGAATATAGCATAAGCTTCTTCTCCCCTGCAATGCGGCAAACTAACAATTGGAGCGGAGCACGGAATTGAGATTAGAGAGGCAAAGGATTTGAATTCCTTGCGATCAGGACTAGGGTGTTTATATCTAATTGACACGAACAAAAAAGTAACGCCAATGAAAAGAACGCAAATAAAAATTGAGACAAGCGCATAAGAACCGGAAGGCTATAGGGTTCCAGGGAGAATGAAGTGAACACATGATGTGGCCGGCGGAACAAAAGAAAAAGAAGGTGTTTAGGGTTTTTTTTATCTTGGAACCAGGCTCTGATACTATGTAAGTGAATCATAATTTAGTGAAAATAGTTGTATCTTATTACTGAAACCACATAGATATAGGGTTTATATATAGTATAGAGACTCACTTCTATAATAATCGTAACACTAATAAGGAAATTACATAACTTATACGACTCTGACCAGTTACATAACAATGCTCTTAATATTAGTGGTGGAAGTTTGGTTTGCGGATTACGAGTAATCCGCAAACCACACCAAACCGCATATATTGTAATACCCACAATTTGTGGATAGTGGATTGGGTGTGGGTAGCAAAATATTGATTTTTTTGGTTAGTGGTTAACCACTATCCACAGCGGTTAACGCACAAAACCCACAATCACCACACTAAGTATATTTATTTATTAATAATACTTTGTAATATTAAATTACGATAAAAGTAAAATGCTACAAATTAAAGTATGCTCCAAAATCAAATATATAGTTATTTATAAAACAAAAACAAGTCAATACATCGTGTTCATATGAGGTAACTTTATTAAATAAGCATTGTCCGCGTGGTATATGTTTATTTTATAACAACACAAAGCCAATAAATGTGGTTTATAGTTTATTTAGAACTTTATTAACTCTCTTTTATGTAGGTTTTTGTTTTTGTGTAAAAGGATGCTAATTTCGCAACTCGAGTTTTTTGCAACTCGAGTTTTTTGTTTTTGTGTATACTTAGATTAGATCCCTCCAACCCATGCTCGTTATCGATATGCATTTCCTAAAGAAAGTGAAGTGACATGTAAGCGAGTGAAGTGAACCGAGGAGAGGGAGGCTGACTACTTAGGAGGTTCCGAATACCGGATCCTCGCTTGTTCCATGTCTTGGGCTTCTTTACTTAGTTTTAGCTCAATAGGTTTTTTTTTTTTTTTTTGTCACTCGACTGATAGGTTTATCATATACGAGTCTAAAGGGTGAAGGAAGGAAAATTTTTGTGGGTATCCACATCTAACTCACACCAACCCGCAATGGATAGTGATTAACCACTACCCACTATGAGACGAATTGTGGGTAGCATAATTCTATATTTGTGGATGTGGTTACCCGCAAAATATGAGACGAGTAACCACACCCATCCTAATTTCCACCCCTACTTAATATAATACAATACTACTCGTATTATACTCAACCTCTTGAATTTCCAGCCTGCCCCACTTTAAATTTCTGCGGCTGCCATTTTATTCTCCACCAACATCCAACAGTAGTGTGCTGGGCCAAATAATTCCCCACAAAGCAGACAAATACTGGCCACCTCTATAATTCCACGCTGCTACTTTTCCTTGGAAAGAAAGGGACTGACAGAGTGTATCATAATTAGCAGGCTTAGCCTATTGGCGGTCATTTGCCTTTCTTTGGACGGACATTGATGGAGGTGTTTCCGCAGGAAGAATTAAAACTCGATACCATTTTACCCACAAAAAAAAAAACTCGATACGGTACCACCCATCCATAACAGCTAACCTCCGAGATTCTCTACCACCAATATTAATTGATGCATGCACCAAAACGACAAGTCCTTTTTTATTATCAAACTATGCAACACGCTAGTAACCTTAATGTAGCAGCTAACACAACCCAGCAAATTACCAAGTGAAATTTAATTGGGAGGATTGTCCTAAAATGGGATTTGCTATGTTTGGTTCAACCGATCGACAGCTATAACGTCGCTTCATATGAAGTGCCCCTCAAGAGAAAAGGCTGATTGAGAAAGAATTTAAAGCAATGAAGGACTAGGTAGCTAGCTAGCTGGTGGACGATGGAAACAAGACTACAAAAGGAGTTAATGACACCACTTGCCCAACCTCCTCCCCTCCTCAATCAATTGTACATAGGTTTCGGTGGGGAAAAGCCCCTATAAATTAGCTTCAAAGTTACGTAGATTTTGCCATGAATCACCGACACCACAGCCCCTGGAGGGAGAAAAGAAAAGGCAACTTCTACATGGAGATTTTCCTCGTGGCAGCAATAATTTGGCTACTCTTCCTCTGCATGCTTTACGAATCCCTATACCGTAAATCACACAAAACTTGCTACCTACTAGGTTACCAGTGCTACAAAGCTCCCGACGACCTCAAGTTAAGCGCTGGAACGGCAGCCAAAATCGCTCTCCGAAACAGAAACCTGGGCCTGGAAGAATACAGGTTCATGGTAAGGACCATGGTCCGCTCCGGCATCGGGGAAGAAACCTACATCCCCAGGAACATCATGGAAGGTCGTGAAATGTCCCCAACACTCCAGGACTCCCTCGACGAGATGACCGAAGCCACTTTCAGCAACCTCGACAGCCTGTTCGCCAGGTCAGCAGTCTCCCCTTGCCAGATCGACATCCTAGTCACCACCGGATCCCTATTCGCCCCCGTCCCCTCCCTCTCCAGCCGGATCGTCAACCACTACGGGATGAAGGAAGGGATCAAGTGCTTCAGCCTCACCGGGATGGGGTGCAGCTCCAGCGTCATCGCCGTCGATCTGGTCCGACAGTTGTTCAACACGCATCCCAACAGCTTCGCGGTCGTCGTGGCGGTGGAGCTGACGGCGCCCAATTGGTACGGAGGGACGGACAGGTCGATGATGTTGTCCAACATTCTGTTCCGAGCCGGTGGGAGCTCCCTCATCCTCACCAACCACCCGTCCTGGAAGGACCGTGCCATCCTGAAGCTGGACGCTGTGGTCCGGAACCACGTATCCGACAACGAGGCGTACGAATGTGCCATCCACGTAGAGGACAACCAAGGCTACGTGGGCGCCCGACTGACCAAAGCTCTACCCACGATAGCCATGCGGGCTTTGGAGGGGAACCTTAGGGTCCTGCTTCCCAAGGTGCTTCCCCTGTGGGAAATCCTACGTTTTGTCGTGGCTAGCTACTATTGGAAAACCAGGATGATGGGGGAGAAGGATGCAAAATCACCGGTCATTGACATGAAGACTGGGATCCAGCATTTCTGCATGCATACAGGTGGGAGAGCGGTGATCGACGGCTTTGAGAAGAGTTTTGGGTTGGGGGAATATGACATGGAACCTTCGAGGATGTCACTCCATCGATTCGGGAACACTTCTTGCAGCAGCCTTTGGTATGTTTTGGGGTACATGGAGGCCAAAAAGAGGTTGAAGAGAGGTGACAGGATCATGATGGTGGGGTTGGGTGCAGGGTTTTTGTGCAACACTTGCGTCTGGACGGTGATGAGGGACTTGGAAGACGTGAATGTGTGGGGAGACTGCATCGATCGTTATCCTCCAGGAACATTAGTGGTGAATCGGATGGATGAAATCTTGGATTGGATTTTTGATGATTGCATGAGTTTCATCAATTTCCAAGATTATGACCGCACCACACTCTTTGCTCGCTAAAGTGGTGAAGGGTGGAAAGTTACTGCTACGTACGACATTATATATACACATAAAGTTCAGGTCTGGATGTGTAACAAAATATTCATGTGTGGAAATGAGAATTTATTATTCTTAAAATGAAAATAATTCCGTATTCGCAAACTGTAATTAATCACTCAAATGTTATAAAAATACTCCTGTATTTATTAACGGTGTGTCTATTTCCGTAACGCAAACTGTAATCACTTAAATGTTGTTATAAAAATACTTCTATATTTATTAGCGGTGCATCTATTTTCATACCCCTTGCTTTGGTGGCACACTATGCTCTCTGCATGTTGTGGTCAATATTGTAATTTTCCATTCTAGTAGGGACTGGACTCCTTTGTTATTAAACTTTCCCCACGTTGCATGTAGAAACTAGAAAGTGGTTTAGGTTTGGTACATATCATTATATGTAGCTGGACTCCTGCCGCAAAAAATAGGGCTCGTTTGGAAGTTGGGATTTCAGATGATGTATTTAGCCAATACATGTAATCAGAAGAATTCATCGTTTTTTTGGCTTAAAATGAAACAAAATGCTTGTATTTGAACAGCAGATGGGCCCACCAGAATCATTCATTATGAATGATTGTAAATCTCAACTTTTAGTAGAGATTATGTTTGAGGGATTGTTGTCTTACTTTTTGTTCCTAATTCTTTAAGAGACCACCAAAATCATTCAATCTCCAAACAATGTATTTTTCAAATTCATACATTGAAACAATGCATCTAATTATAATACATACATTGATTAAATACATCAATTTAGAGAATCCTAACTTCCAAACATGCCCTAAGGGGTGGTTTGAAAGTTGTGTTTGTTGAATACATGTATTGTGCACAATACAATGTTTGGAAGTGCAAAGTGTAAAACAATGCATGGGTAGGTTCCACCAACAATTACAAAAAAATGATGCATTATACAATCTCAACTAAAAGTTGAGATTGTTGTGATTGTTGCTTTTAGATTTGTGTCAACTTTTCCTTTCCATTTATATTCCTAATAGTTTTTGTCTTATGCTATGATTTGACGGTAAATATGACATTTCCCCATAAAAGTAACTTTATGTAAATCAATGCATAAAGTAGAATCTCAACAACCAAACAATGTATTGTTAAAATACATCCATTGTATCAATACATGCATTTATATTATGGTGATTCATTACAATGCAACGATTTAACATTCGCAACTTCCAAACGACCCCTAAGAAAATTAGAGAATAAATAAAATAGAACTTCAAGCACTCTTCTCGTGCAATCTATGGGGAAGCCACATAAATTATGGTCTAGTGTTCATTTTCTTTTTCACCTTCTTTGATTTTTACATAGTATCATAGTTGTGATTAGATTCCATAATTTTTCATCGTGGATTTGGACGAAGACTCAATTAGGATTGGCAACGGGTCGAGTCGCGGTGGATAGTGCATATTCACCCTACCTAAAGTATTTCAGATTTTACTCATACCGGCCCATACACATATAACAACCGGGTAGAAGTGTTAATCAAAATGGAATAGATCGAAACGGAATGAAAACAAGACAGGATTTGCGTGGTGTCCTCATTCAATATGAACGAGACTATTATGCAACGGCCGAAGCACGCAAGTACTATTATGCAACTTGAGTTCGTGTTACAGTGTACACACACATATATAGGAGTGTCGACTAGCAGTAAAGGCATTCGTAAATAAATTAGCTATCTTATCCTCAGACTACACATAATGAAGACCTATAGTACCATCACTAACCAAATCTTAGATGAACCTCAATATGTTTCGTCTGATTGTGCAGTACTGGATTTGTTGCTATTTGAATATCACTTGTGTTATCCATAAATAACTGCATGGGAGTATCGCATACCACACCATCGTCACTTAGCAGTCGACGTAGCCATTCTAGCTCCAAAGTCACATCGGACATGGCTCTATACTCCGCTTTAACGGAAGATTTAGACACTCGATCATGTTTATTACAACACCAGGACATAAAAGAGCCCCCAACACGAACAGACCACCTAGTAATAGACCTACGGGTATCCATACACCCAGCATAATTAGAGCCTGAAAGGCATATAAATCACACGTACCAGTGGATGGAAGAAACAACCCAACACCGCGAGTTGCCTGTAGATATCAAAGCAATCTACACACAGCATCCAAGTGAGCAGTACTTGGTACGACCATAAGATATGGGGATGACTGGAAGTCAAATAAATCAAGCTACCCATGATGGTACGATATTGCTTCCCCCCATCCTCCAAGAGATCACCTGACTCTTTGCCTAGCTTGAGATTTAATTCCATCGGTGTAGAAGCTGGTAAGCACTCACCCATATGGGCCGAATCAAGAAGATCATCCAAGTATTTTCCCTTGTGAAGGAAGATACCATGCTGAGATCGATTTATCTCTATCCCAAGGAAATAAGATAAGGCTCCAAGCTCTTTAAGGCCAAAGTAGGCACGTAAACCTTTCGTGAGAGCCTGAATACCATCAATATCATCACTAGAGACAAGCATGTCGTCCACATAGACCAGAAGAACCATGATGTCACGACCAGAGAGTGAAGTAAAAAGAGAAGGATCATTCAAGCTCTGCTAAAACCCAAGGCCAATAACAGTCTCCTGAAAGTTATCAAACCAAGCACGAGGTGCTTGTTGCAAGCCATAAAGAGATCGATGAAGCAGACAGACATAATCCGACGTACCAAAAAGATATTTAGAAGGACGCTCCATATAAACAGTCTCCTATAAAAACGATAGTCAAGTTGGAGAAATGGCCACCCATGGAGAGCAGCAACAGCAAGCAGTGACCTAATTGTAACCATTTTTCCACCGGAGAAAAATTCTCCACAAAGTCGATGCCATATTCTTGTGCATATCCTTGGGCACCAACACGAGCCTTATGTCGCTCCAAGGCACCATCCGGAAGGACTTTGATCGTATAGACCCAGCGGCTCCTGATCACAAGAATAGAAAGATGAGGTCCTTGTACGAGATCCCAAGTCTTATTTTCATGGAGAGCGTCGATCTCATTGTCCATTGACTTGTCCCACACCAAAATGCCATGAGCTTGAGAGAACCGAGTCGAAACAAATACAGGCTCAACATCAAAAGTAACATAATCTTGCAGCCAAGAAGGGGGTTGCCCAAGTTTGTGACGGAGAGAACAATGTGGAGCTGGCTATGGAGAAGGCGAGGGAGAGTGTACTACTAAGGAGGACGAAGATGAGTTGTCATCCGAACCGGAAGAGTGAGAGCTGCCAGGAGAGTGAGGAGGGGAATCGGGGGGTAGCGTGGCATCATCAAGAGCTAAGCCAACATCATCGTCGTTATCGATGAACGAAGGAAGACCAAAATCAGAATGAAACAAAGGAGACGGTGGACTCGATGATGGATAGTACATCAAATTTTTGAAGAGCACGGCATGAAAGGTAATACGAAGACACTGAGACACTGGATAAAGATAGCCTTTGTGAATATCAATATAGCCAAGAAAAAAACGAACCGCCTTAGATTGAAGCTTGGTACGTTCTTGACTAGAGAGGAGCAAAACATATGCAATCGAACATTCTAAGACGCAAATAAGGGGGTTGGACACCAAACAAGGAGTAGTATGGAGTCGACTGGCCTAAGATGGGGGTGATATGATATTTGATAAGATGAACAATAGTGGCAACGTGCTAAGGCAAAAAATGAGAAGGTACGCGAGAGGCCAACAAAAGATCATGAGTGGTTTCAATGACATTATGATTTTTACTCTCAACCAACCTATTTTGTTGAGACACCCCTGGACAAGATTTCTGAGTCAAAATGCTCAATGACTTGTATAAACCAAGAAGAGCAATAGAACTAAATTCCCCACTAGGATCAGAACAAATAACACGAACGGTCTTGCCAAACTATGTCTTGATCATAGTGAGAAATTCAGTAGCTACGAAAAGCATATCAGACTTTAGTCGAAGGAAATAGACCCAGGTATATCTTGTGGCATAGTCAACAAATAAGGCAAAGTATTTATACCCATGACGAGGCGTGGTAGGACTAGGACCCCATAAGTTGGTGTGAACCAAATAAAACGGCTCACTAATGGTGGTGGTACTAGAAGGAAATGAAATTTTGGTAGCCTTGGCTTCAACACAACTAGTACACTGAATTTTCAAAGGGGTGCCGACAATATCATTACGAAATATTTTCTGTTTAAACGTTGATGCAAGTCTACGAGAGTTTGGGTGACCTAAATGAGCATGCCCCAAATGAAACTTTTGTTCACCAAGACTAAAAAAAATGGGAAAGGACAAAACCCTAGACACCAAGTGAGACGAATCACTCCTAGACACCGAAATGGAACAAGGAATATCCGACAGCAACGACTTTGATGCAGCTGGAAAATCCTTAAGCTCGTCTAAGTGAAAGACACGACCAACCTTGCTACCCCGACCAATCTCCCTCTAGGTCTTCAGATCCTGAATAAAACAACCGTGTGGAGCAAAAACAACACGACAATCATGTTCAGTGAGCTGGCCAACTAAAACTAAGTTTGGAACTAAACGAGGTACATGTAACATGGCATGGAGAGATATTTCTGAACTATCCACAAAACCAATGCCATTAACACTCATTTGTTGTCCATTAGCAACTTGCAAACTCATATGACGAATAGGACTAATATTATCAATATCATATGCAAGACTAGTCGTATGATTAAAGCATGCAGAGTCGAGGATCCAATGAGAAAATTTACCCGATGCTTGGAGACTTGAGAAGGCGGAGTTGATGGCCTTATATAGAAGTTTCTCCAAGGCCTCAATAGAAAGGAACCTCCAACAATAACACATGTTGGTTGTCCAAGAGTTGTGGCAAAGACAAGACGAGACTGCGATGAGCCAGACCCTTCAGCACGACTCAGCATCGGGCGACAATCAGGAACGATATGGCCCAATTTCTTGCAATACACATATAAGTTGCGTTTGTGGCAGTATTTCTTCGTATGACCTTTCTCATGGCAGTGATAACATTCAACACCAGAAGACATAACCCGCCGCTGAAACTGCGCCCGATGTGCAGGGAACGCAGCATTACCATAACTGGCTCCATCAGACAGAGTGCCTTTACCATCATTATTCGTAGGCTTAGTAGCAACAGTGAAGGTCGATGTGTTGGTCCCGCTTCCTAGGCGCGCATCCAGAAGAGCCTGCGTATGGAGACGAGTCTCCTCCCGTATCAAATCACCAAAA